AGGGAGAGAGATGGTGGAGTGATAGGCTGCCACATTATTATTAACAATGTCACAGCCCAAAAACAACAAAAAACAACAACACAGGATGCGATTTAAAACAGATAAAATCAGAGACTGACTCAAACGTTTGTCTATACATGGCACATGTAGAGATAATAGTGTAAATTCCACTCACTCAGGATGTCCTCCAGGTCATTGTTATCAGGTGGAGCAGAAAGAGAGGAGAACCCTGCCTTGATGTATGATGATCTTCTGTTATAACTCAACACTGTGCCCTGCCCTGAGTTATTTATTAAGAGACACACACAGTTATAATCAGGGTCAAACCCACCCCATATTCCCAGCTATTAAATTACAATCCAGGGTGAAGTCTTCTGACTCAGACTTAGTTTTAACCATTACTTTAAATATGCAAACCTCTTTTCCGTTTGATGTATATCACGCAAGCAAATAACCCAACAAGCAAGATGGAAATTAGGATAGCCAGTGGTAGTCCCCCTGCAAAAATAACAAAAGGTCAAGGTTAAATTAAGTTATGACACATTAGAGAGATGTGTTCCATTCTCCATTTTAGTAGGCCTATATGTTTATCTTACATAGCACTGAACTTCCACGATGTAGGTGGTAGGCGACTGATGGTAGAGTTCCCACAGTCGCTGCGTTTGTTGTCAAGCTGGATGCTTGGTTGGTCTGAGTCTGATAAGGAAATAACTGTACACTGTTGAGGCTGAATTAAAAAGTCTAAAAAAAAAAAAGATCCTCATTTGAAACCATTTTCTGTCTGGTTGCACTTTGAGCATAACAATCTACTGTAGAGGAAAATGTTATTGCTCTCATATTCTTGTACCAGCAGCCTATTCTGTACTACTGTAATAATTGTGTAGACCCACGATGAGAAGAAACAAGGCAGATGAAGGATTAATAGTGGAATTAATGGTTTTAGAAAATGCTTTAAATGATTTCCATTCTATTTTCTTTCACACACACCTATAATGACTTAAGTACCATGACACTGGGAACTTTTTCGGTGTGGGTTCATTTCCTCCTCAAATGAGTAATCATTTCCAGTGTTTGTACCACACCGCCAACATCATCTTCCTGCTTTAAATTAAAGATGGCAGTGATGGATTACCGTTGATGCCTTGGTGAAAGCGGCCGTAACGTATGGAGCGGTCGTTGGTCCCTGAGAAGAGAACTGAGAGAGAGAGAGAGAGAGACTGTTAACCAGTTTCCAACCCTCCATTATAGTAACAACATAACAACATAACGGGCCTGCTCACCGTGCCTGCTGCTTCCGTCGTCCGATCCCTAAAGACAGCAGAAAAAGAACTAAGTTAGATGTATGGCTTTTTCCTAACACTTAACATAACGACAACAGAAATGCCCCCTGCATTTTCAGACAATCGCGTTTTCTTTTCTACCTTGTGCTTTCATTTCTCCAGGGGTCTCTCCTACCTTGGGTCTCGGCACTGGGTGTCGGTAGTCGGGGTGCACTCGCTCACCCTGTCCTGGCCCGACAGACAGACTGTGCAGGGCTGACAATAAGCCCTGCTGCCATCATTAAAGGTATTGGCTTTGCACTTTCTGTGGGGGAGCTCGTTTCGCCCTCCGTCGTCATCATAGCCACAGTTAGGAGAAACTTCATGCCCTACATTGTTATAAAAAACAAAACATCATTATAATAAGGTTTACAGTGCAGGCCAACACTGCACAGCGTTACAGCCTATAATAACAACGATAAAAGGCCTACCTGGCTTGAATGCACAGGGCACACAAGTGGAAGTATGTTTGTTCCAGCGGGCAAGATCAGCACAATTTTCAGAGTACCCCATCGCGACTGAACTGCGCTTCAGCAAACAAACCTTTAAGCGTCGATGTGGCGCCTCCCACAAAACCTCCATCATCTCCAACAATCCGAGACACTCCGAGCTGCCGCATGTTCAGACAGGCTGCTGTGTTCGGATAGATCTTTTTTATTTTTATTGATTACATGTGCTTTTGTTTTCTCGGATATGGGGTGTCGAACAGGCTAAAAAAAAACAAAAAAAGCAGGCTGGATTTGAAGTAATATTCGTTATGACCTCGTCTGTCTGAATAAAACTGCTGGGTGTGCCACAACTATCTCCAGCTAAATCTGACCAATCTAAAAAAAAAAAAGTCCCCAGTTTTACGGAAACACGCAGGTCTGCTGAAGTCATCATAGCTGCGGTCAGTAAACCCAAGTATGATATTTGAGCTTTCTTTTAAAAAAAGTTCAACTGAGCCTCAAAAATGCTGTCTTTTTCTCTTTTCTTTCCTTGCATCCTTTGTGATTTTATATCATCTCGATTAAATAATGGTAATTCATCGTGTTAAGACAAAAAAAAAAACAAATGAGACAAGCCTCTATTTTATTCAGTTTTATTTGTAAATGTATTTAATATGTTTTAGCCTGATTGTCCTGGCTCAACCATGTAAAGCACTTTGTAAATCTGTGCTATAAAAGTTGATTATTTTTCATTATTATTATTACACATTTTCACATTATTTCAGTAACATTGTAGTAATACAGTTTTTTTGGGGGAAAATATGGCTGAATATGTAGGAAACTTTTATTTAGGGATAGTGGTCAGATGAAACCATTTTTTATCACATAATTTTGTGTGCTCTTTTTTAAATCATAATTACACCTAAAATCACCTAATCAAAAAACTTTACATACACTGATCAAAGGTTTACACGCCCTTGAATGTCTGGCCTAATAACACACGTTGACACACGCAGGTTTAAATGGCTATTGTGGGTAGGTGGATCTCTGATGTTTTGGGGGTGGCACAGGACATTTAGTTAAAACTGATGAATGCAGCATGTAATCAGAAAATATTGGAGGACTGAGAGCTGCGCATGGGACGCACTTGGACTTTCCAACGTGACAATGATCGGAAACACAAGGCCCAGTCAACCCCCCAGTGGCTCCAGCAGAAGAAAGAGAAGGTTCTGGAGGGGCCATCACAGTCTTCTGACCTCAATATCATTGAGCCACTTCGGGGAGATCTTAAACAGGACCTGGAAGCTTTTTGCCAAGAAGAATTGGGTAAGAAAATAAAAGGCATCTCAGTATTTTCTTTATTGCTATGTTTTGTTTAATGATTGTGCTATTCTGTGATGCCTTATAGTTTAATTTGAAGCCCACTAAAAATAAAAAAAATATGTTTTTGGCTCGCTCACTCTGTTTATAGAATGGTACTGACAGGGGTATGTACATTTATGAGCACAACTGTAATTAATCTTGACACAGCTCAGAGACAAAACCGAAACCGAACCAATCAAAGATTCTGGACATTGATAAAAGACAAAAGAAAAAACAAAGGAAAAAAAGACATCTATGTTAGACGTTGACATCACAGTGTGGTTAGACAAATATGACTAAGCACACTGTTGTCATGGTTTGACTTGTCACATTTGTCTGTGTCAGCCTTGTCCTTTGTTGGCTGCTCCAAATAATGTGACCTCTAATAACATTGCTTTAAAAGAAGTATTAGTGTCTTGTGTCTGGTACGGAATTTTAACATTTGTAAGCACCGGCCTAAAAACACATTTCAGAACAAGCAATATTTTTAAAATGCTGTTTAGCATTGTAACTCGTCTATCACCATTGTGTGCCCTGTTTGGATATTTGTATCAGACGGTTTAACTGACTTTTAAAAAGAGTTCATTTTAAGGCGCTATCCTCCCAGTTATAAATTAACTTTAACATTAACAATCTTCTCACATGTTCTCACATGTTAAATCAATTAAGGAACCTTGGAGCGCAAACCATCGTTTGATGCTGCTACTGTTTATTGCTTTTGCATTCTTGTATCCTGGTGTGAGAAGAGACTATAACTTTCGTCCAAGTTGGCTTAAAAGTTGAGACTAGAAGTTATTTTGACATTGGAAGAGAAGTAGTAGTAGTTGTGTGCCATGTTAGAAAGCAGCTGTCTCCTTTATCTTCCTAGACAGAGACCAGCTCCTTCCTCTTCCTTTCCTGAGCCAGATATTTCTTGTCTGGGAAAAACTAGCTTGCTTCCATTTTTCAACTGCTGCTTTTTTCCATCGCTGCTTAACAAGAAAAGCTGTTTTTTTTTTGTTTTTTTTGTAGTTTCACTATAGTTTCATAGAATTTTATTTTAAATTTGTAATTTATTTTGTTGAAATAGACTCCTTCTCGCTGTATGTTTATGAACCACATTTTCTTTTGTGTTGTATTACAGTTATTCAAACTGAAGCTGCAATGACTTGATGTTTTCCTTTTGACATTCTGAACATTATTCAGAAATATGTTAATAACATTAATAAGTCAGTGTTGTGATCGTTACTCAAAAAAAATATTTATTACCCATTACTCTTAACTCTTTTCAAAAGTAATATTAGTTATTACTCTCTGCAAACAGTTCCACCTCGTGGCCCACTGAGCAGGTACCAAACGCCTTACCGAACCCCTAGACCTTTTTCGTGTGTAAGAACAATTTCCTCCATTGGGGATTAAGACTTAAATACTTAATAACTAAATCTCCCATTAAGAAAGAGGAAGTATAAGGAGGGTGAAACCTCCTACTTTGTGTCTCACCCCTGTCCCTCCTATCCTCCCATCTCCACTCTTCCAAGAACAGCAGCTTCAAAATTTTCACTGGAAAGCAACATCTAGTTTGACTGTTCAAAGTCATAAAAAAAGCCTAGAAAAAACAAGAAAGAAATTCCTTTCAGCCTAGCAAAATAATTCTTACACAGGAAACTAAGATGGTGAACTTGGTTCACAGAGCCTCACAGAGCTGCTAGCATAGCTCTCGACTTCTTGCCTGTTTATGTGCAGTGACATCAGCTCAGCTTTGACATGACTTTGTGAAAGAGTACAAAATGTGCTAACGTGCATGCTGACAAAGATGCAGTATACGCCCAATGTGTAACATCGTTGAATTCACTGGAGGAACAGCTGCAGTTCCTCTGCATGTTGTCTAACTGATGTTGGTCAAGAAAGTTGCAAAAAAATATATACTTTTTTCTGTATATTACATACAATTATTTTTCTTTCTCCTGTACATATATGAAGAATGTTGTTTATGTCTAGAAATAGATTTACAATTAATGCACTTGTGTTTGCTCTTAATTCAGTTTTATTTGTGTTGCACCAAATCATAACAGAAGTTATCTCAGGACACTTTTCAAATAACCACCCAATAACATGCCTATTTTCCTGCTGAATAACAAATTAGGTGTCATGACTTGCAGGTCATGGACTACTCAGGAGTAAGGTGAAATAAAATGATTTATTTGCATTGGTAGCAGGGTATAGAGGTGGAAAGAGAGGGGAGGTAGCTGGCTGAAGCAGAGGGCAGGTGAGGTGAAAGAGACAGATGGCCGTAACACTAGATTTAGATGCATCATGGGTTTGGGTTTTAGTTTTTTCCTGTTTTCTGTTGAAAGAGTCTTTTCTCACATGTCTTGTGTGATTTCACTTCCTGGGTTTGCCTCATTAGACTCACTTGTGCCTCGTCACCCTTCTTTCACTACTGTATTTTGCATTTGTTGGCATTTCATTTGTAGTTCCACTTCCCCTTATTCACTTCCCTCTGCCCTTGCCATTACGTGACAGCATATATTACACAGAAGTAAAATTGGCAGGGGAGCTGTCTTTAAGTACACTGTAAAAGATTTTACAATGCAACTACTGTTATTTATTTTAACAGTATATTACCGTATTTTGGATTACAGTATATGACCGTAGAATAACGGTGGGTGTTGTGCTTATTTTACAACGCATCTACCGTAATTTATCTAACAGTATAATACCGTTTTTTTGGATTACAGTACATGACGGTAGGATAACTGTGTTTTAGTAATTTTACAGCACATCTACCGTAATTTATTTACAGTATATTACAGTATTTTGGATTACAGTACATGACAGTAGGAGAACTGTGGGTTATGGTAGTTTTACAGTATATGCCAGAGTGTTATAAAATCTGCTATTTTTGCATTTGTATAAATCCTCACCAATTTAAAACCAAAGTATGCAGGGCTTTTCAAATACCCAGCCCTAGCCTACCACATTCATCCCAACAGCCAGTCAACATCCAGAAGTTCTACAATAAACACACAGCTTGACTTTTCTTGTATTTTAATAACGTCTTGCCTTCTAGTGCTTAGATGTTAGAGTTGTGGCTCTGCTCTGTGAGTTTCTGGTTCTTGGTTCTTGAAAACAGCGTCAGAGTGAGCTTGTTACTGTCCACTCTTTGCTACTCTCCTCCTCCGTGGTCCTCCACTAAGCTTAACCTGCTACTTTTCTTCAGTTGAGCACAGACAGACGAACAGTGATGGAATGCATGTTGTTGCTGAATGTGTTTCTGATCCGCTCCTAA